GTTTCAAAGATGTAGAAGAGACAGACACAAAGGTAGAAAAAAGGGTGAGGTGAGTACTGTGGAAGTGACCGAATATGACATACAGTGGGGTCATGGTAGTTTAAAGTCAGAAGTCAACTGCCGGTTAATAGAATTTTTTGCCGTATGAGTATACGTTGCCCAGGGTGTACTAAATGAAGTTTATGTAATAAAAACGGGGCATTAACGTATTATGATTGTTATTGTAGAAGCTGATGCTAGTCAACTATTGCTTGAAGTAATAGCAGCTGGAGTGGATACTACTGCTCTTAGTATGGTTTGGTGTTGCTATGGTCTGGCAAATGGAAAGCTGGAAATTAATCCAGGTGAAGAGCTCACAGAATCAAAGCTGGAAGAAGTACATCGCCTGGCCAGTGTAGTACCAATGGCTCTTCCCCACATTGCAAAGTTTGACAGCTATGTTAAAGGATATCTCATTCCCAAGAATAGCATCGTTATCTTCAACCTCTTCTCCGTTCACCAAACACAGTTGCGCAAATTAGCTGGCGCCAATTCAGGCGGTGCCTGTCCTGTTGCTCATAAACCGAGTTCCAAATCAAAACTATATTACTGTGAATCCGCTTTACCATTTTCAGTAGGTGCGTGTCCCCTTGAATGTGCAGATCATAATTTTTCATAATAGATGATGGTTATGACCTTTTTTAACTTTTTTAAATTTAGGTGCTCGTTCCTGCCCAGGATTCATGTATGCCACCCATTTGCTCATGCGTGTTGTGAGCAAGCTGACCTCAGAATTCAAGGTTGTAGAAGGAGAAAATGACAAGAATGTTCCAGAGTTGCAACTGAATGGAATTACCCAACCACAACGCGATGATAGTTACCGGTTTCTTTCTGTCAATTAGAAAACCCTCGTGTTGGCTAAATTCTAATCGCGTTCTCGACATTTGTTTAGAACTTAAGGCGTGTTATAATAAATTGCATGTGATAAACACATTTTCAACTATCCTTTTCTAAATCTAATAAAATTTATATGACTTTGTCACTCGGATTATGTATACTAACTTACCTCAATACTCAAACAGTAATACTTAAGTAATATCCTTAAAGATATCCGATATCGCCTTAGTTTTGAAATTCGCATCAAGTTAATTGAAGGCAATCGTGCTTAAGTCGAGATATTAAGCAAATAATTTTGAGGCTTTTCGCAACTGGAGTTTATACCATTCAATAACTCCTATTTGCTAACAGCGAACTCATTTCTCATCATTTTGCCTTACTTTATAGTACAAACACTCAGTCGCAATGTAGGTTTTTAATATTGTCAAATCTTTCCTCAATTTTCAAGGGTATGGCTTTTTGTGAAAATGAAAAATCGGGTTATCCGATGCCTTATCGGCCTGTTAGACTAATAACATAAGAATGAAATAGACATTAATATCTAATTTCGAATAATTGGCGAGAATGCATGTCACTGAGACTTGTTAATTGCCCTAGCAACTATCTATTAGAAATCTGCAGAGCATGTCATTGAATGTGTATTCACATCAGACTTCAATCTTCTTAGCCACTGTAAGTAAATACGGTTGAAACAGAAACTTCTTCAAAAACAGTCACCGACCTCTGTTCACCAAGTAAATAGTACTGGAGTTTTCTGAAAGTCCGCCCTTCTGAATAAACTCCCACGGGCTATTTGGGGGTATGCTCTCTTACAGATTTTCCCTACGTGGGACTGAAGCTTGACTCTCCCCATACGGGATGAGTCATCCCGAAAGAACAATAAATATACATATATACGTATATATGTGTGTGCGTGCGTTCTGTGTTCTTAGTTGAAATATTTGACTTCTGTATTATCACCAATGGGCCCTTATGCAGGTGGGCGGTTATTTGGTTTCAAAAATAGTTTCATGAGATGAAATTTCCCGCTTAACCGCCTTCGGCTGGGTTTCGGAAATCCCCGGTAATACGTATTTGAAAGCGCTGTCATTGAACTAAACTATTGAAAAAGCTCTTTAAGTTTTGATTTGCCATCGTTTGCTGAGTCATGTTGCATTTCTTCCATCCGTGCACCCATTGTCGATAAATTAGTTTTTCCACGATTAACTCAGTACTACGTCAGGTAGATTCCACACGAACGATGGACAAGGATATTGGTTTTGGAAGAACAACAAAAAGGAATTCGGAAATAGTTCATTTTTTTCCAATTATAACTAAGTATGCATGTTGCATCAGTGTCCAAGTGGCGTTTCATGCTTCAAATTTTTAAGGTCTATTTTCTCAATTCTGGATCGATGATTCATCCTGAGTTTCTCAGAGCTGATCGATCTGATAGATTAGCTTTGTATTGATGATAGACATTTCTCTTTCCTTAGTTAGCTAGTGGATACCGCCTTGATTGTCTGATTCTAGTTTGCCTACGTTGAAGATAAGTTAAAAAATAGGTGGTTAAATCAATTAAGAAAGAAAATAAATTAAGAAAGTAAGGAAATTAAATTCAGTAAACATTTCTCACTTGTGATCAGTCGATTAGGCATAACTTAACTTCTTTTCAATCGGAGTAGATGTATGTTTCGAAATGGTATGAGCAGATTTTCATTATTATGACCGAGGGGAACATGAAGGCAGGTGCTGATCACCAAATCAATTGCAGACAATATAAAAGCCTCGTTTGGGCTCTGATCATGTCTACACTTCTTTGTTGCATCCAACTCGCTTTATTAATTCTTGTATTGTTCTATTTCTGGTGAATACAGCCTTTTTTCCCTTTCACTGCCTAGGTAGAAGTCCTGATGTTAAAATTATGCGTTGGTATGGACAATTCTTTTAAGTTACATTTCGGAGTAAAGTACGATTTCTTGAAGTTAAAGAACCCCACTCCGAAAGTGCTTCCATTTTATTGAGAAATAAGAGATTTTAAGCCCATTTTATGTGTGGATTGACATTCAAACCACGGACCTAAAGCCATGTAACAGATTTCATCAGAACACCAAGTTCGCCAAATAGCACGCTTTCAAAGCTTGAAAATTTGCAAACAATTTCTGCTGTTTTCTGAGCAAAATAGTGATAATATATTCACTCTTGAGAACACCGAGTTGCTTTTTTATCTTAATCCCATTGTTTGTCTAAGTCGCCCATCGTAGTTACCAATAGGTAAACAATAGACAAATGATGGTTTAGGAATGGCAACTTCAAGAACAACCTTATTTATTTATTTATATCAAATGGCAGGCGTCTTGATGGTTATCATTAGCCCTTTAGTTGACTTCAGGCTTCACAGAGGGGAAGGAACAGCTAAGTGAAAAAAGTCGAGAGGGGAGGGGGGAACAGAGGAGTGTTTCAAAGATGTAAAAGAGACAGATACAAAGTTAGAAAAAAGGTGAGGTGAGTACTGTGAAATAGTCGAATATGGCATAGAGTGGGGGGTGGTAGTTTGAAGTCAGAAGTCAACTGCCAGTTAATAGACTTTTTTGCCGTATGAGTATACGTTGCCCAGGGTGCACCACGTGGAGGTAAGTCTATCGCACACTCGCCTTAAACAACCTTAAACGCTAAGATTTCATCGTAAATAATAACAATGATTGTCATCAATTTGGAGGTGATTGGT